TATGTTGTTATGAACTGTAATCACCACACTCTGTACTGTAGATCTGTTGAATTACTCCTCTGTCCAACTGAAACTTGTGTCCTATGACTATTTCTTTTTCCCCATTAGACCCCATCCCCAATTTCTGGAAACAACCACCCTACTCTCCACTCGGTGGGTTCAGTTTTGACAGCCCTATATCATGTGACATTTAACTTTCTCTGCCTTGTTCTACTTAGCATATTATATCCAGGTTCACCTCTGTTGTTGAAAATGGGTTTCTTTCTATTTTTAAGGTTGAATAGTGTTTCAGCAGGCACATGTCGCACATTTGCTTCATCCATCCATCCGTTCATTGATGGATACTTGGGTTGTTTCTGCCTTTTGGCTGTTGTGACTAACGCTACAGTACGCACGGACTGCAGACAGATCTTCAACATATTGGTTTCATTTCCTTTGGACGCAGACCAAGTAGTGAAGCTGCTGGATCTAATTTCTTTTTAAATAGATGGGAAGACTGGTTTTAAAAACTTCTATGCTTAAGTTAAATCCTGACCTATATTTATGGAAAATCCAAAGGAAAGAGGCTTGGGACTCACAATTTGCAGCATAAGAAGTATCACTTTCTGTCCTTCACTTAGCAGACCTTTCTCATTCTTGAGGTTTTAGCATCAACCTCTCAACGTTTTTCCTCATTCCTCCTGACTGCAGCTTTGCTTGTTGGAGGCCCTTTTGTTTTCTTTTTTGATAATAAAATACCATGTTTGCGTCCTTGTCACAGCATGGGACTTATTGAATTGAGCATTGGTAGAAACTTAAAGACTTTCCAGTTTGAGGATCCATCTGGTGTCAGAGATATCATAGAACATTCAAGCCAGTGACTATCCAGTCTTTTTTTAAAATTAATTATTTTTTAATTAATTACAGTGTTTTCACTTTGTATCTCAGCTGTAGCCTCCTCCCTCATTCCCTCCCAATCCCACCTTCCTTTCCTCATCTCCTCCCATGCCCCTCCCCAAGTCCACTGATAGGGGAGGCCCTCCTCCCCTTCCCTCTGACCCTGGCATATCAAGTCTCATCAGGACTGGCTGCCTTGTCTTCCTCTGTGGCCTGGCAAGGATGCACTCCCCTCAAGGGGAGGTGATCAAAGAGCCTGCCACTGAGTTCATGCCAGAGACAGCCCCTGCTCCCCTTACTAGGGAACCCACTTAGACACTGAGCTGCCATGGGCTACATCTGTGCAGGGGTTCTAGGTGGAGATATGGAGATATGAATGGAGATATGTTTGGAGTATCAGTCTCAGAAAAGATCTCTGGACCCAAATTTTTTGGTTCTGTTGCTCTCCTTGTGGAGATCCTGTCCCCTCCAGGTGTTTCTATCTCCCCCTTCTTTCATAAGATTGGTATATACTCACTTATAAGTGGATATTAGACATGTAATATAGGATAAACATACTAAAATATGTATACCTAAAGAAGCTAAGCAAGAAGGAGGACCCTGGGTAAGATGATCAATCCTCATTCAGAAAGGCAAATGGGACAGACATTGGAAGAGGGAGAAAACAGGGAACAGAACAGGAGCCTATCACAGAAGGCCTCTGAAAGACTCTACCCAGCAGGGTATTAACGCAGATGCTGAGACTCATAGTCAAACTTTGGGGAGAGTGCAGGGAATCTTATGACTGTGCAGTCTTAGTTTAAATACAGGGGACGAAAACTATCTAATGTAACCCACTGCATCACTATAGCCAAAGCTTAGTTTTTCTGTTTTTTTCCCTTTTCTTTCTTTCTTTTTCTTTCTTTCTTTCTTTTTTTCTTTCTTTCTTTCTTTCTTTCTTTCTTTCTTTCTTTCTTTCTTT